GGCGGGCAGCAGGACTGGCGGAGCGGCCCGGCTCTCGGGATGCTCGGCGGGCAGCGGGACCCGCGGAGCGGCACGGCTCTCGGGATGCTCGGCGGGCAGCGGGACCCGCGGAGCGGCCCGTCTTGGAGGATGCTCGGCGGGCAGCGGGACCGGCGGAGCGGCCCGGCTCTCGGGATGCTCGGTGGGCAGCGGGACCCGCGGAGCGGCACGGTTCCCGGGATGCTCAGTGGGGAGCCTGGGCAGTGGGTGTGGCACAGCACATACCTAAAGAGACCGAGCAGCCTTCCAAGCCTCAGCCGTGGCAAGACAGAGCTGCCACGAAGCCAGAGGCGACCCCCAGCTGGAGGAGGAGAGGCAGGAAGGGGGAGTCATCCATCCACAGTGCCCTGGGGCAGGTGCAGTACCCAGAGAGAGCCTGGCTGTGGGGAGTGGGATGGGGGCGTGGGCTGTGGAGGGAGCTCCTCTCCCACCAGGGGGCACTGTGGGGGGCAGGAGTGTGTGGGGAGCACCTGGCCTCCCAGCAGAGGAGGATGGGGCAGGGGTGCTGGCTGTGGGGAGTGGGGTGGGGTGGGGTGGGGTGCTGGCAGGGTAGGGGAGCAGGTTTGGGGTGCAGGCTGCAGGGAGCATGATGGTGGTGCGGGCTGGGGGTGCAGAGAGCAGGGCAAGTGACCTCCCGTATCTCTCTCTCTCCCAGGTGATCTCTGAGAGGCTGTTCTCCCCCCCGGCATCCCACCTCCCCACCAGGGGACGCCAGTCAGGGGAGGGAGCAGTCTCCCCTCCAGAGCAGAGTGCAGCAGAGGAGCTCCTGGCCCCTGGCTCCCAGCACCCACAGCTGCTGCAGCTGGCGGTTCAGCTGCTAGAGGAGGCGGAGGGTGAGGGGGTGCAGGGGGTGGCTGGCAGCCTGGGTAGGAGAGAGAGAGCTGGTGGGGTGGGGGCTCAGGAAGTGGCAGCAGGAAGTGGGAGATCTGCTCAGGTCTCATTTCAGGCTGTGGGGGGAAGGGGCTCTGAGCAGGGCTAGGGAGGGATCTAGCCAGGGTCCCAGTGGAGGTGGGGGCTGGGGGGAACTGGATGGGATCTTGGGGGTGGGGGATCTTGCTGGGGTCTGAGCAGGGGTGGGGCAGGGGGTGTGAGTGGGGGCAGGTGGGATTTGGGGGGACCTGGCTGGGGTGTAAGTGGGGGCAGGTGGGATTTGGGGAGACTTGGCTGGGGTGTGAGCCGTGCTCTCTCTGTCGCCCCCAGAATCAGATGGCACTGAGTTCGAGGAGGATCCACTGCTGGAGGTGCTGCGGGTCCAGCGGGAGGATCTGCGCAGCCAGCTCCGGTAATTACCCAGCGCAACACTAGGGAGTGCTGTGGGGCAGGGCAGAGGATGGCTGCTGTCCCCATGGGCCTGCCCAGCTCAGAGATGCAGCTGTCTGGGGCACACTCAGTGCTAATTTGTGCTCTCTCACTCCCCAGGGCCGTCGACATCGCAGTGTCCAGGCTCGTGTCTCAGGGCTTGGCTGAGCCGCCCGGCCGCCCCTGCTGAGGGTCTCTGGGTCTCCCTCCCTCCAGGCCCTGCTCTGTCTGGAATCAGCCTTGGGGGGCCGTTAACAATATCCTGAGCCAGGGCGACTAGCTGTGAGTCCACGTGCCCCCATCTCAGGGCCGAGTCAGCCCAGAGCCAGAGGTGGGCGAATCTGCCAGCTCCCCTCAGGCCAGCTAGGCTACCTAGCGCCGCCTGCACCTCGCGCCCCTTGGGGGAGGGTCATTGGCTCATTGGGGGCACAGGAGGGAGCGGGGCGGGAGTGCTGGCTGTGGGTGGAGTTCCCAGCCCCCCGGCCTGGCCCAGCGGGGGGTGCTCTAGGGCACAGGTGTGCCTGGGGGAGCTGTTCCCTGGCCAGGTGTGGATGGTTTTTGCTGTTTTCTTAGGCAATGTAATAAAAGTGGGTTTGCTAATTGGCATGGGATGGGCTTGTCTGCAGCCGGCTCTGTGATGTGGAACTGGGGTCTAGGGGGTGCCAGCTCCCGTCCGGCCCCATGATGGGGGGCTGGCTGGCTCAGGGGGGGCAGGACAGGGGGACCTACAGCCCCCTACCGTCCAAGCCTCCCCTCTAGAGGGCACTGGCTCCCATCTGGCCCATGGCGGGGGGCTGGCTGGCTCAGGGGGGTAGGGAATGTGGCAGGGGGCCTTTCCTCTCTAGGGAGTTTGCCCCCCCCCCCCCCGAAAGAGCTGGTGCTCCCTAGTGGGGAAGCCCCATGCCTCATCCTGTACCGCCTCCCAGCCCCCTGTGCCCAACTCTGCCTCTCCCTGGCCTGGGGCCAGCGCCTGTGTCAGGCCGGCAAGTGCCGGCTCCTGGCTCCCCCGGCCCCTCATAATCAGCCTTTTGTGTGTCCAGTCCTCAATAGCGGTGTGTGTGTGCTGCCCACCCCACGGCCCCCACCCCACAGGGCACCGCAAAGCTACTGCATCCTGGAACTGGTTAGTGGGGCGCTAACTGAGGGGGCTGTGAGACACTGCCTCAGCTGGGGGTGTACCCCACTGCCCCCTGTTGGAGAGTGGGGTGTGTACACATACACACACCTCACTCCCTTCTGCTGGTTGGGATACCAGCTGCATTGCTGTGTGTCCTGCACCCTGTCCCACTGGCAGCAGAGGGGAATTCTCCTCTGCTCCAGCCACCTCCAGTCCAGCAGAGTGATCCCTTCCCCCCAGCACTCTGGGGCTGGGCCCAGCTCGGCCCCGTGCTCAGGAAGTGAATGTGAGCTGGAGGCTAAATCGGGCTCCCAGCTCTTCGGCCCCAGCAGCCTGCAAACAGGAAGTGGGAGCCAGCAGCATTGGGGAGGGGGTGGGGGCAATTCCTGTCCCCACGGCTACTGGGGGGAGAAGGACAGGGGGACCTACAGCCCCCTGCCGTCCAAGCCTCCCCAGCCCTGCTGGTGCCCCTCAATCCCAACCCTCAGCACCCATTGGTGTTCTAACTTGGGGGGACTGGCTGGCTGCTGGGGGAGGAGGGGAGCTTTCCCTCTAGGGACGCCAGCCCCGATCCGGCCCCAGGGTGGGGGCTGGAAAGTTCGGTCCCATGTGCTGATGCTGCTTGTTGCCCCCAGCCCTCCATTGTGCGTGCTGCCCTGGGCAGCTCCCTGCAGGCAGCCTAGGAGGAACCGATCAGCAACTCGACTTCCCCTTTTAGCAGTGCAACAACGTGGTTTAACCTGCGGGTTCCAGCTTCCTGCGCTGGGCGGCCCGAGGCAGTGCAGATTCACTGCTCTGCCAGAGCCCCCAGGCCCCACGCTGGAGCCCCCCGCAGCCCCGGACATGGGCTCTGAGCCCCCACAGGTAGGGGGACCTGGGGGGATCCCACTAGTGCCCTGGACGCCTGGGTCCCATGGGCTCAGCAGCGCCTACTGCAGAGTCCCCTGGGGGCGGAGACACCACCTGAGTCCGAGGGATCCCGGCGCGCTTGTTCAGTGTGGGCCTTCCCGCTCTGTCGCTTCCCGGCTCGCTCCCTGCTTGCTTGGGCTGCCACCTGCACCCATTTGCACTGGCTGCCCGAGAGACTCTGGCTGCCCAGCGGGGCAGTGCCTGGTTGGTCTCCTGCCCCTCCCCACATGCCTTCTGCCCTGGGACTCTCACTGGGTCAGTGCCTGGCTGGCCTCCTTCCCATGCAGTCCTTCGCTCCCTTCTTGCACATGCCCCCTCCTGCCACCCTACCACCTACCCCCTCCATCTGTCCACCCGCGTCTCCCCATGCGCCCCATACATCTGCCCCTCCTCAAGCACCCCCACCATCCATCCACGCGCCCACTCCACCTTTGCGAGCTGGTGGGGGACGGGACTGACCCCAGAGGTCTGAAAAGGGAAACATCGCATCTGTCTGTGCATAGGGACAACCCAGGAGCTCCTAAACCACGCGGGGAGAGAGAATGGACACTCTCATTGGCCCTTAGCAGGTGGGGCATCCAGCGCACATGGATTTGTCCAGAACAAATCATGTCCCTGACCCACTCTCCTCGGATAGGGCCCAGCCTTGGGGCAAGGGCGGCGGTTGATCTGAGCTATCTCCCCTTCAGTGAGGCTGTTGATATTGTTCCACGTGACCTGCTGAGCAAACCAGGGCCATGCAGCCTCACCGAGCCTGCTAGGGGGCAGGTGCCCATTCCCAGGGAGTCGTGTGAGTGGTTGGCAGTGAGTGGGGCCCGCCAGGATCAGGCCTGGCTCCAGTTCTGGGCAGTATCTTCATCAGGGACTGGGCTAATGACAGCTTGTAGCGTTTGTGGACAGTACCCAGCCAGGTGGGGCACAAGTGCTTTGGGGGATAGGATTCGAAACCCAAGTGATCTGGAGAAATGGCCTGGGAGCCACCGGATGAAATTCACGGAGGTCACGTGGAAAATACAAGGCTAAGGCAGGTCGATGCAATGCTGCCTGGTGCCACTGAGCCGACCGGAGAGCTATGCGGCACCTCCGTGAGAGAGGTAGCGACATCCCTGGGAAGCACCCTCGGGTCGCCAGGGTGCCGTATGCACTGGGGTTAGGCTGGTGCAGCTGTCGCTCGGGTGGGGGGGAGTTCACACCCTGAGCGGCGTGGTTCTACCACTGCACAATTTGAATGTAGCCCTGGTCTGAGGGGGGAACCACTGCCCAGATCCCAGCTGGTGCTGCTAGTCTAGGAGAGTCTGCCAGAGAAGGAGCTGGGTGGAGAGTGGGTCACAAACTAGAGATGAGTCACCAGAGTAATACTAGTACCAAGACAGCCCGTCATTCTGGCTGGGTCAGCAGGGGCCTGGGAGCCAGACAGGAGCAGCCCTGTGGCTGCGCTGAGGAGGCCTCGGTTGGCGTCCTGGGTCCGGTTCTGGGCCCTGTGCAACAGGAGTGAAGCGGCCGCTGGCAAAGCCCCAAGGAAAGCAACAAGAAGGAAAGGTCTGGGCGCCTGGGCAAGGAGGAGAGACTGAAACCTGGGGCTGGGAGGCTGGAGCTGAGACACCGGCTCTGGCATGTTGTGCAGAGGGGCAGCCAGGCCTCTCGGCAGGACAAGGTGCAAAGGGTGGCGGTGCCACGAGGCCGGCTTAGGTTGCACATTGCATGCAGGGAGTTTGGCAGGTGCCATGGGGCGGGCAGGGGGCTTCTCAAAGCAGGTCAGACAAATCCCAGTCTGGGCTGGATGCCCTCTCCAGGTCCCTTCTAGCCCCACATTGCTATGGGTCTATGGTCCCTCCATCTGCCCCCCTCCACACATCTGCTATCCTCCCACCAATCTACACTGCCCCACATGCACCCTCCACCCATCCCCATCCATCTTTCCCACACCCACTCCTCCCTCCATCTGCCCCCCACATGCACCCTCCACCCCCCCATTCTTCCCCACACCCACCCCTTCCCTTGCCCACACACATCCTCTACCCCTCCATCCATCCGTCCTTCCCCACACCCAGCCCTCCATCCGCCCGTCTCTCCATCCATGCCCACATGAAGCCATCTGTCCATCTGCATGTATACTTGTACACTCCCCCATTGGCCCTGCTCCCAGATGCTGGCCAGAGCCACTCTGGCTCCTGACACAGCTTCTTGCCTCCCTGGGCCACATGGAGCCCCACTCCCTGGGACCGGGGTTTCCCTCTGCCCCACGTCTGTGCAGCTGGCACCTGTGTGTGTGCGTGTGAATACTGCCCCCCCCCCGCAGGGGATGAGCCCAGCTCTGTGTGTGCTGTCCCCTGCTGGAGGGGCTGAGTCGCCCTCCCTATGTGTGTCAGTCACTCACTGACCCCCCAGCCCCTCTCCAACTCCTGCATGGGGGTCCTTTCTCCCCCAGCCTCCTGGGAAAGCCCCAGCCCATCTGCATTCCCAGTGGGTGGGGAGGGAAATCCCTTGTCCCCGCCCCACTTCCCAACACAGCCTTTTTTTTGCTCCCTCCTTTCCCACCCTCCCCACTTGCACTTCCCCCTCGGCTTGTCTCTTCCTTCTGCATTTCCCTCCCTGCCCTCCACCCAGCCTTTGTGCCCTCTGCCGCCAAGATCACCAGTAGGGAAACCGTGAATGTCAGGGACACTGGACTTTGGAGATCATGGAGGGGCAGGCCAGCTTCCCCTCCCCACTCTCAGCTGACCCAGGCAGTGTTGCAGGGTTGGTCACACGCAGGCAGCCCCCCCTTCTCCCAGCAACAGGCACAGACTCTCAGCAGACCCAGGCAGCCTCTATCCTAACCACTAAGGCCAGAAGCTTTAGCAGCCCATGAAAGCTGAAGCTCTGTGGGACGTGATGGCACCAGTACAGCCACAGACCATGTTGGAGGTGACGGAGCCAGCTCCCAACTGAGAATCTGACAACCAGCTGGCTTGGGGGGCGGGGACTGGGCATGGGACCTTTACCCTCCAGGGGGCACCAGCTTCGATCCAGCCCCAGCCTGTGCTAGGGGATGTTGCTCTCAGACCCCCGAGCCTTGCTCCATCTCTAAGCTTGGCACGGAGGGGCGCTGTGCACATGACAGTGGGACAGACCCAGCTGGGCCCACGGACATACCTGGCAGAGCCCCACAGTGCTACCACCCCAGCCCTGCTCTCTGAAACCCGCTGCCCTGCTTGGCGAGTCTCAGTCCAGCTGGGGCTGCCCTGGCGGTGATCTCGCAGCCTCGGGCTGGGCAGGGAGGCGGGTAGGAAACCTCCGGAACAGCCGGGGGGCTGCAGGGAGCAGGGTGGGGGATTAGCAGGGGGCACGCTCCCCATGCAGTGAAGGCTGGCCCCAGTGTGGCGTCCCTGGGCGTCTCCTCCTCAGCTGCCCCATCCCAGAGGTGGCTGCATCTCATCTGTGGGCGAGCCATCCCTGTGTGGAATTATTTGTCACTGTTCCCTGGCTGCCCTGCCCCAGAGGTGGCTGCATCTCAGTGCCAGGCGAGCCACCAATGTAGGCAGTGGTGCTGGACTATTGATAAAGAGGACAGTTGTGGCTAGTGCCAAAGGCAAGGGGGGATGT